GAATGTCAAGGATAGAACTCATCAGGTTCAGATCGATGTGGATGCAAAATATACTCCTCTATTAAGACAATCACTAACTATCACCCAGGCTAATCAAACCCCATAATTTCATCCAAATTATTGCGTGGCTAAACTTATTCACAAGGAGTTACACAAGATAAAATTAAGGTTAGAAACTAGAGACGAGAGAAAATCGATCAACGAAGACAAATACATGTACCAATGAGAAAGAGTGAGCTGATTGAGTCATGGATCGCTTGGTCAGCTTAGGCTAAGGCTACAATTGATGCTGCTTGGGTAAGGAAAAAATGGTAAACCAAGGCTCATGTAGCTGGCCTCGCCACTAACTAATGTAATACCCTAATCCATTTCAAAAATTTGCTTTCGCCAATGATCCTCCGATTGAGCCTCCAGACGCAGAGGTGCATGAAATAGTTGGATAAGACTTTGTCAAGTAGGATTTGGACAGTAAGAAAAATGAAGGATAAGTTTGGAAAAAAAATAAATTAAGAGATGGAACGCCATAGTACCAGAATATAAGGTNTCAGCTGGAAAAGGACAATGTAAACGTCCTAAGCCGGCTCAACGAGTTTGCCGCCTCTGGTGAAGGATCGAGGGATTCATTCATGTCTCGTGGGCTTCCCGCCCGGGAGGCGAAAATGAAGGATCTAAGAAACCACCTAAACAACAAAGCAGAAAGCTCTAGGGCCCCAAAGCGACCCAGAGCCGGCGAGCATCATCAGGACAACCATTCAAGGAAAGCAAGACCATTGGCCCTGGACGACCTCCGGCGAGATTTGTCTAGACGGAGGAAGGGAGATGAATCCGAGGAGGACTCAACCCAATCCACACGACGCCCAGGAAATGAGGGGCTTACCGATGAACTCAAGGACTTCAGAAGGCATCCCGTCAGGGAAGAAATTGACCTCAGAGCCCGGTTAGACTCCAGGAGAAAGGGTAAGGCTGTCCAGGATGAGGCCGAGGACGAAGTCATACAAACACCCTTTACGAGGGAGAAAAAATCCCTGAGGAAGTTTCTCGAGGATTAGTCGCTATGTATCAACCGGAGACACCTCCAGTCATCGGAAAACAAAAAGGGATAGGAGGAAGAAAAGAAGGAAGATACTAGAACTCACCCGAATGTCAAAACGGAGTTTTTTTCTAGAAAACCTTAAAGCCACTCCTTCCAGAAAGTTCAGAAGCAACGATGAGTCTGCTGGTCTTAAGACTTTAAGGAAGAATGGGCAGTCGACGATGGAAGATGAAAGAGATCTCCGGCANGAGGAAAGATACTAGAACTCACCCGAATGTCAAACAGAGTTTTTTCTGGAAAGCTTTAAAGCGACTCCTTCCAGAAGGTTCAGAAGCAACGATGGGTCTGCTGGCCTTAAGACTTTAAGGAAGAACTGGCAGTTGACGATGGAAGAAGAAAGAGATCTCCGGTGAAGATTCAAGAAAAAGCTCTCTTGAGGAAGTTCGGAATGGCGAAACAAGAAAACGGAAGAGGAACCCCATTTATATAGAGGCAATTTCATCATTGGGCGCGAAAAACGAACGGCGCATTTAATGCACACAACATCCCAAGCCGGGGAAAGCGACTCGAGGCAATGATGAAGCAGTTGTGGTGGTTGGGAAACCCTTCGTCTCCTTACGACGCGTGCCCTCGGTGTCGGAAGATCGAAGGCTGAAGGGCAGTTGATGGGACTTTTCTGAAATACTCTATGATGAAGACACGTGTCCTCGGTATTACTAAAACACTGTTGATAAGATCAAGCACCATCGGCGCATAAAGGTCCTCGCCCCCGAGGTACTCGTCATATAGGATCATGGCATTCAGTACGTTTTACAACCAACACGTGGCCTCGGTCTGATATGGTACCTCGGTCGGTATCCCTCCCTCGGTTCCGAGATGAGCCTTTCCTCGGTGCCGAGGTATACCCCGTCCTGGACGCCTCCTCTAATCCAGGATAAGCTATTGACGTACAGGTCATTAGCCTAGGCTAGTCTAGGCTATTCATCATGACCTCGTCTTACACAATTAGTGTCAGAACGTACTGGAATGCAGGGGCCACAGCCAATGAGGGATGGACGCGTGGCATATGATATCACATCGAAGACAGAGAAATCGCATGCCGTCGCTGACACGCGACTTGGGAAAGCAAACTATTAATTACACCATTCCCTTGATGAGACCGCATTCAATGCGGTAAGGCTCGGAAATGAAAGGCAATAAATGCTCCTAATACAGAGCATTTATTGCATCCTCCCCGAGAGGAGTACATTGTACCGTCGGCATCCCGATGACCCAGCATTGATTGCTCGGGACCCCGAGCAGTTAAGAAGAGAAGACATTCCTCATCAGAATCAGTGCGCACACTGCCTGTACTTAATGATAACCTACTGACTACACTGACAGCAATCATGAGCTTTTGAGGTATAAATACTCCTTGCAAAAGGCAAGACGGGTATGCGACAAAAAACTTTTTACTACAATACATACTCAGTGTTTTCTCCTTCNCAAGTGAACACAATACCAGTGTGGAACAGCCACTACGGAATGCATTCTTGCCAACTATTGGCATCGTGAATTCTTCACTTCCAACTTGTTTTCAAGATGCAATTTAACTACATCAATTTCTATTTACATCTCCTTTTAAGCGGTAGATTAGGATCAGGTATCCCTTGTATCGCAAAGGTCACTTGCCATTGACCTCCACCTCTTCAATCTTGCCGGTGAAGATGATCTATCTTGGTGTATCCCTCTCTCTTCCTCCCGTTCCCACCTTTCTCTCTCTCTTCTCTTCTTCAAATCACATTCTCTCGCTAAACTTACATGTCAAACAGAAAAGAATGCGTCTTCTTTTGCAAAAACTCTAATTCTAAAGGCTTCTTAGGCTCATGCTAGGCTATATATAGTGTATAACTGAATTTCGGCAAATAGAACAAGCTTACTTCACTTCCATATTGTATTCCCCTCTGTGGTAGTTTGCTGACTCGAGCAAGAACGATGATTGAGCATCCCCTTAAGTCCTTTGACCATATACATTTGATCTCACAGAGTCTTCTTTCCCTGTAAAATAAATGTTACTTACATCCTGCATGACAGGAGGAAAAATATATAAATCTGAGAATTAGNCTCTGTGGTAGTTTGCTGACTCGAGCAAGAACGATGATTGAGCATCCCCTTAAGTCCGTTGACCATATACATTTGATCTCACAGAGTCTTCTTTCCCAGTAAAATAAATGTTACTTACATCCTGCATGACAGGAGGAAAAATATATAAATCTGAGAATTATATATAAAAATCGATGATTAACGATCAAACAGAGAAAGGGTCTAGCTATGATTGAATCTTCATTCAGCGACAGTTATAACAATGTGATGCCAGATTATGTTGGTTATGTGTCAGAAATGTCATAAATTCATGGCTACATATAACAGAGATGCAGTATCATATACTTGGAAATATACCATTACGAGAAGTGACTGCAGGAGCAACCTGAGATACTTCAACCACAGCGGTGGAACAATAGTGTTCACATCATCATTTGCCCTTGGGCAGTGTGAATTGCTCCAATTTCAGATATTGCGACGCCATTATGCACTGGCACTTGTTGGCTTCCTGTTCTAGCTTTGGTTAATGGTCAAAACTNAAATATACCATTACGAGAAGTGACTGCAGGAGCAACCTGAGATACTTCAACCACAGCCGTGGAACAATAGTGTTCACATCATCATTTGCCCTTGGGCAATGTGAATTGCTCCAATTTCAGATATTGTGACGCCATTATGCACTGGCACTTGTTGGCTTCCTGTTCTAGCTTTGGTTAATGGTCAAAACAATCAATACATTGTTTCTGCAACATGAAAGGTGAAGAGTAAATTTTCAGAACATTTGCCCAATATGATGGTTCTCAAGAGATCCAAAATTCCTCCGATCTGAAAATGAGAAATAAAAAGAACTAGCTGCTTCTTCGGTTTTTGGAAAATGTTGCCATTTGATACCATCGGTATCTTTGAATATCCTACGACATTTTTGAGTCACTTCTTCTGAAGAATGTCAAGGATAGAAACAATTTTCATCAGGTTCAGATCGATGCNTTTGAATATCCTACGACATTTTTGAGTCACTTCTTCTGAAGAATGTCAAGGATAGAACTCATCAGGTTCAGATCGATGTNAAAGGTGAAGAGTAAATTTTCAGAACATTTGCCCAATATGATGGTTCTCAAGAGATCCAAAATTCCTCCGATCTGAAAATGAGAAATAAAAAGAACTAGCTGCTTCTTCGGTTTTTGGAAAATGTTGCCATTTGATACCATCGGTATCTTTGAATATCCTACGACATTTTTGAGTCACTTCTTCTGAAGAATGTCAAGGATAGAAACAATTTTCATCAGGTTCAGATCGATGCGGATGCAAAATATACTCCTCTATTAAGACAATCACTAACTATCACCCAGGCTAATCAAACCCCATAATTTCATCCAAATTATTGCGTGGCTAAACTTATTCACAAGGAGTTACACAAGATAAAATTAAGGTTAGAAACTAGAGACGAGAGAAAATCGATCAACGAAGACAAATACATGTACCAATGAGAAAGAGTGAGCTGATTGAGTCATGGGTCGCTTGGTCAGCTTAGGCTACGGCTACAATTGATGCTGCTTGGGTAAGGAAAAAATGGTAAACCAAGGCTCATGTAGCTGGCCTCGCCACTAACTAATGTAATACCCTAATCCATTTCAAAAATTTGCTTTCGCCAATGATCCTCCGATTGAGCCTCCAGACGCAGAGGTGCATGAAATAGTTGGATAAGACTTTGTCAAGTAGGATTTGGACAATAAGAAAAATGAAGGATAAGTTTGGAAAAAAAATAAATTAAGAGATGGAACGCCATAGTACCAGAATATAAGGTCAATTTGGGTTGCGAAAGTCCCTCTTATCATTTTAAAACCCATTTACTCAACAACCTTGCCCTCCATAATGCCATTATTGTTCAAGGACTTTGTGAACTTTTGATAGGTCTCTTCAACAAATTGGACACCGTGCCATTCGTAAGATACAGATTTAGCACTTGAAACGAATGTTTTGTATTTCTCTGATGTTCACAGGTGGCAACAAGGCTCAGAATAACAAAGGAGAGGGTCTCACAAATAATACTTCCACAAGAAACGAGTCCGTCAAGCAAATTCCAGAATCCAGTCAAGACAAGTCTTTTTTGTTCTACGTAAACCTCAGTGAGGACCTCCATGGAAGATGACTTCATTGTTACATTTTTACCCCAGCCTGCAACCCTGGCTGACAACCCAGCTTTCGTCAACACTGAATCTTGCTCATTGCAAATCAATTCAAGCGTCCCAGGAGAAACTGCCCTTCGATCTTGTGTGCCATCTGCATCTAATCCACATGTTTCCATTTGAACTCAATCTGCTTGGCTTACACACACACCTGAACATGTTCATTCTGAATGTGTTTACTCTCTTGACTTGATGAATCAGCTGAAGTTTCCGTTTGATCTCTCTGCACTTGTTAATCAATAGTTTGCCTATAAGCATAAACAATATTTATTGAGATACCCAGATTAATTGTATTTACATCCTTTGTTGTGTTTCCCCACCATTTTGAACCCTCCCGTCCCTTCCTGGAATTGTTCTGACTTGTAAGAGTTAGAAATGCATCCGGTATCACTTAAACGATCAAAGCATGCCACATATTGATTGCTCTGGTGAACATATATAAGTATCAACTTGATCAAGGAAGCCGTATATCCCCTCTATCTGGACTTGGTTTCCCTTTTGCTAGGCCACGGTAAATTAAATTCTGAAAATGAGATACCTCAATCAAAAAGGTGGTGAAAAAACCTATGCTGGAGTCAGTAATTGCTGACACTAAAAAGCTTTCTCGCAGAAAAGTACCACAGGGCAAGATTATTAAAGAAAATTCAGGTCTGCAAGAAGTTGTAACACTTTTATCTGTAGGTCATATCTTGACCTTTTTCTAAAGTTTCCTGGTGCTCTGTTGTTTCTACGAGAATATTGAGAAAATAGCTAAGTATCTTACATTGCTTAAAAAAGTCAATTATGAGGTTCAACTATCTAATAACACTTTGGAGACCTATACAAAAGAAGTCCTAAATTACTCCTGTACAGTACTTTGGTGACATTCCCATTAAAGTTCCAACAAAGATAAATAAAAAATTCCTACTGCTTTTGTAAAGAGTACATAGGAACAGACAAAAACACATTAGGAAAATGTTAGAACAAATGAGCGATGCTTCGGGTAAACAGTCAAAATCTTAACCAACCAGTGTTTAGGTATACAATTTGCTCATTTAGGTAAAAATCATTAAATAGCACTACACAAGCAATTTGCAGCCCAACAATTTACATGAAAAGTACATTGCTTTGAAACTTGAGGGAAATAGCTGACACACCCTATAATCATTGGATTCATGTGGACGGTTAGCAATCTTTGGTCTAAAAGCGCTTGGATTTTGCTCGTAGGTTGCTGGAACGATTCTCTTGCCTAGCAGCCTCACGCTCAACAATATTGTGACAGTATGTTCAGTCGCAACCATGATAATAAAACCCAGAAGCAAAGCACTCACAGTAGCTAGTGATTTGCCAAGACTAACTTCAGAACAATTTTGTAAAGAAAAATCAATAGGAATGAGATGATGCACGACATACGGATATAATGTAATGAAAGAATCTGCACACCCATTAGCTTGAACAATGCTAGGTCACTAACGTTGTACTTAGGAACTCAATCATACATTGTTTAGCGAACCAATTACATTGAAAAATACGTAACGAAACAAATAAGGTCAAATGGAAAGGAAGAGGTAGATATGGTATACTTTGTGCCGGTGTGCTGCAGCATTTAATCCTCCAACTCCGTCTTTCTGATGAAACATTAACTTTGTCTAAAAGTTAAATAAAATAAAATGTCCTAAAATAGTTGAGTAAGGTCATGATGTCTTATCTGCTTGCAAATGTGCAGTTATTTCAAGCATCCTAAATTATCATGTTGATGTAAGTGAAAGAAAGAGTAGCATGAAGTGAGTAAGGGAAAGGATAAATAAACAGCACTAAAACTAAGTGAATATCTGTGTACTTCATCCAAGAGTTTTTTTGGATTCTTCTGATTCAAACCAGTACATTGGAAAACAGATGTGCCTATTCTCCTCAGATGTTGACATAGTTGTTGATTATACTGTTTTTGATCCTAGTCCAACCCTAATTATATAATTTTTAATCTTAATTCTAACCTGACATCAATTCGAGGTACTTAACCTGAGTACTGTCCGAGTTTAATTTGGGCGGGCTCGGATTGAATTCGAGTTACNCCTCAGATGTTGACATAGTTGTTGATTATACTGTTTTTGATCCTAGTCCAACCCTAAGTATATAATTTTTAATCTTAATTCTAACATGACATCAATTCGAGGTACTTAATCTGAGTACTGTCCGAGTTTAATTTGGGCGGGCTCGGATTGAATTCGAGTTATTTAATTCGAACTGATTTCGGGTTAAAAATCGGATTGAGTTTGAGTTACTTAATTTGGGTTGATAAAAGAAAGAGGAGTGACGAGTGAGAGAGGGAGGCTGAAAATCTGAGACGACTCAAACGAGTGAAGATTGAGAGAGGCAAGCTAAGAGAGGAAGGAGAAACCAGTGAGAGAAGGAGGTTGAGAGTTGGAAACGAGACTTAGATGAGTGAGAAAAGGATCTGAGAGTGATGGAGGCATACGGGTGAAGACTTGAAGTGAAGTGAAACTCTGAACTCTGAAGATTGAAGATAAATACTAATTCTAGTTAAATAAATTTATATGTTTATGTATATTCGTGTTGAATTCGACAATTCAAGACTTGCCCAAATTTAATTTAGATTGAGAGTTTTTTGACCAAGCCCAACCCAAATATTAAAAATTTTAACCCAAGTCTTATTTTTTTTGAATTGGCCCACCCAAGTTATACCCCTAGTGAATCCAACGCATTTTTGGAAGCATTGCTAGTGAAATAACACCATTTTGGCATTTTCAAGAAATTCAATAAATTGAAACTTTTGATCATTCAATTTTAGTTTTTATGGTAATAACATTGTTTCAACGGTCATATTTCTCAAATTTTAACAACCTCTCTTCCCCAATATTTTCATGTTTTCGCCTTCTGAAGCCCAATTTTCTTGTTCTCTTCCCTCTCACTGTTCTACTCCTTATTTTTGTAAATTGTTAGTTAATGGGTAGAGCCATGATCAAGAGCTTGCTCACCCACTTCTAGATGTTTCAAGTGCATGTTTATTTGCGAGTCTATGCTTGTTCAATTAGAATTTTATCATTCCGACAATCAGTCTTCACTAAGATAAATTCTTTGATTGTTCAATCGTTTGCAAGGTAAGTTTGCTATAAGATTTAAATATCTTCAATTTTGTATCAGCTTTATATGTTATAACAAATTGATTAGCTAAATATACTGATGGTGCACTACACGTGATATAATAGATTATGTATGAATGGGGATTAGAACTGAGTTACAAGGCTCTGGTGATTCTAATCCAACAACTTTTAGGGTGAGAAGGGAAAGATTACGCTGAAAAATTATAGTGGTTCGCCAACTAAGAAGCTTGACTAGTCTACTCTCTTAAAGGAATCTCCTACTCCTGATACTTTTATTCAAGATGGATCGTAGGTTACAAGATCCTCCTCGTTCCAAAGGGATTCTTTTTTTGGTCTAATGATGACTTTTTACAGTATTTATAACTTAGTTCCTGATTCAAAAGGGTCTGTAGTGAGATCTTCGCCTCTCCCATGCAACGTCTTGCTTGATTCTAGGCAATGGTTGTGGTGGTTAAGGATCTTTCCCCTAGACTGGCGCTTCCTGCTATGGAAGAAGTGCGTTGTGGTTTTTAGCTGTCTTCCATGCGTATTCTTCCAGGTGTAGGTCAAGGAGGTCCCAGACCTGGATTATCAAGCTTAGGGTCTCCTGGCTAAACTCCTCTCATGACCTTAACTCCGAGCTCAAACTTAAAATTTCTTGGTATCATCACATACATAAGCATGAATGTGAAGTTTGGAGCATAGAACTATATCTAGGGGTGCAACTCGGGCGGATTGGGCAAGTTAGACAATCAATCCTAACTCAACCCTAAGTATATAATCTTTAACCCTAACCCTAACCCTACCTCGGGTTAGGGAACTCAACCCGAGCACTGCCTGAGTTTAATTCGGGCGGGTTCGGGTTGATTTTCGGGTTACTTTACAGGTTCAATTCGGGTAGAGCCCAAAATAAGTTTGTTGTTTTAAACCTAATACATATATTACATAATATTCACCTAAATTAACAACCAATAACTTTAACTAAATTTTTAATGAGAGAGGCAAAGAGAACGAGAGAGATAGAGAACGATAGAACAAAAATAAAAAATCAGTATTAATGTTTTATATATATATAACTTTTTTTTTTAATTTGTCAGGTTCGGGTTGAACTCGGGTTCACGAGACCTTAACTCAAGCCCAACTCAAATTGAATTCGGATTGAGATTTTTTGACCCAAGCCTAACCTAAGTATGAAAAACCCTTGTCCAAACCTTAATTTTTTCAGGTTGAAATCGAGTTATCCAACCCAAATTAGACCCCTATTTATATCTTAGCACTTTGGTACAACGTTTGTTGTCTTATGAATACCAAAGTGACAAAAAGTATACATCTAGTTAGAGTTCGAGGAAACCTCTCAGATATTTTATTTCATTATGCTTCGGTAAAACCACGTGTTTTTAATGTAGGGTGCAAATCACCTTGCTGTTTATTAATAATCCAAAAACAAAACAAAAAAAACAAAAAAGAGCCTCCTTAAAGTTCTCAAAATCAACGTTGCAGAATGGCCTCCTTTTGAGAGAGAGAGAGAGAGTCAATGAAGTGTGCTCACGATGTTTCAGATAGCTTCTTTAGAAGAGTAGGCGTATGGTGATCTGAAACAACAATGCTATAGGATCTAATTTTGAAATTTAATGAAAGACTTAATTCAATATAATTATTGAATTAGTCGTGAGTCCTAAAGGTGATATCTACTTTCAATCAAATAATTGTATTAAATTAAGTTGTCAAATTACGTCCTCAAATTAAATATAAATATTAGATCCATTTAGAGTTGATTTTTTTGGGTGCGAAACAAATGTTAAAAAAGTGAAGTGAAAAAATCAGAGTTAAAAAAAAAAATCTTAAAACTGTTTGGAGTATTTTTAAAAAAGTTGGTTTTTCTTTGCAAGTCTTTGGATAGACTCTATTTTTAGCTTTTCCATGNAAGTATACATCTAGTTAGAGTTCGAGGAAACCTCTCAGATATTTTATTTCATTATGCTTCGGTAAAACCACGTGTTTTTAATGTAGGGTGCAAATCACCTTGCTGTTTATTAATA